TTTCAATAAATTAATTCTTCATACTTATAATCACTGGACTTTTTCTAACGCAGCGAAACTTTCGAGATTATTCAATCTAATTGGTACATAGGTACTGGGTGTCTCACCGCTAATAGGAATATATATAACGCGATTACTGCCACGCTGTTCATACATGAATTTGTCCGCTACAAATTAGTCTAATTAATCTAATTAACCCACGGTATTTTGAGGTGCTGTATTTTCTTAATATTGAAAAGATTGTATTTAGAATGAAATGAGATGTAGACTATGGAATATATTTAATCAGGTTCATAGGTTAAGACTTTTTAAGTTTGTAGTCTGAAACATATGATTTTTCAATTTTTATTTATAGTGTCGTTTGAAGATTTAAAATTTTGTGTTGAATGAAAGGAATTTTTAAGTTTTTATGGAAGAAATATGAATGCTTTGTATAATATTCGATGTTAATATCTAGAATTATAGTAAAATGATAATAAATATTTTATTTAAAAAATAACATCTTTAAACTATATTATAATTATTTATTATCATATTTTATAAGGATAAATTGTTTTAGATAAAATCAAGTTGAAACTATTGCTTCAGATTTTACGTGTACTAATATGTTTACCAAAAAATAAGTTTGTACCTTCCGCATTGAAAATAAATGAGTCACAAAAGTTAATAGCAAAAAAATGACATAATAGTATGTGTATATGTAAGAATATGATAATAATTTATTGCAATAAATTCTTATTTAAGTTCTTACTATTTTGTTCAAATAATTCGTTAGTCCTTTTCGTTATTCTTATGTTTTATTCGTTATCCAAATAAAATTTTACGCAGTACTGTTCTACAGGAATCATAAAAAATCAGAGGGGACTAAAAATTTACTTCACAGAAATTGTGGAAAATTCGAGGACACTAGGCGCTACTATAGGATTCTGTGACACTTCGTAAAGAACCATAGGCAAATTCATGCATGACCCACGTACTGGTTGAAATCCATGCGGGCGTGTCAAAATCCATTGTATCGGATTTTCTAATACAGAGAGAGAATCCACCAGACTATTCACACGAGCACACACAAGTATCTATTTGAATTTTCGCGTATACGGAGACAGTATACAACAGAATGTTCGCATAAGAAGTATTGATTTCAAAAATTAATCAATTTTCTTCTTTTACATTTATCAATTAAATTCTAACTATTAATTAAAATACTGTAAGACATTCTCGTGGTCTACTACATGTAAAAATCTAAAATATATCTGTATGCCATCTGCTTTGTATATTGACTATCAGAGAAACTTTATCGAGACGGAATTGTCATAAATTCCATATATCTAGAACAATATCTACAACTTTTCTTTACATTATTTTTGAGATCGATCTACATTTATATACAATCTCACAATACAATATAGCATATTTTCTTGTAATTTTCATGATTAAAAAGCTAAACGATATTAATAAAGAAAATCGCAATAAATATTCATAGAATTTGAAGAATCCAAAAGCAATATTTCAAATTTCAATTAGAAAAGAAAAAATTGGCAACCAAGGAAAAATAATGTTCTTGGGGTGTTATTGCACAATAACAAATGTACATGCAATTAATAATATTTAACTTCGTCTTATAAAAGTCCACAAAGCCCCAATTTAAGCCACTTCCCGTTGCCAAATGTCGGTTTGGAAGCGTGTAATATCGGAAGATGTGACGAAGGATAGGTCGTGAAATTTGTTCAAGGCACTGACAACATCATGATGTCCTTACGGAACTTTTGGCATCTGACGAGGGTGCAATGATGCTTTTAAAATTGATAGCTGATTTTGGAATGCAGCTAAAATCACTTACGTATTCAATCGATATCATCCTGTGCTAGTATGACACGACCCAAAGGAAAATAACCATGACTCTCCGATTTTAGAGACCGCACACTACCAAAAACATATCGTTTACTTCCAAGGAAACAGGGAATATTGCAATAAAAGGTTGCTATATCGTGTTTTACGCGTCATTAGTTTTAGTCCTTCGTTTCGTGTGTGTGTCACGCTAATAAAAATCACTCTGTCGTGATCAAAATAAGTATTGGAAACCGTTCTAATTGTAAATTAATATAAAGTTATTTTAACATCGATCAATTTTTCTGCGTTGTTGTTGATTCACTGCAGCAATAACTGTCACATTTTTGTATTAATAAGAATACAAGCAAATGATAACAAAACGTATTCATTTTATTATCATCTCTGAAATGTTATAATTAAACGTAAAATTAATTCCCATGTATATTTTTATTGGATATTTCTCATTTATCTTTGTACGTTTTTCAACCAGAACATTTTATGTTTATATTTCTCTATAGTCGTTAATTCTTATAATTAAAGTACATGTTTCGTGTACAACAATTCATTACGATAACAAATATCATCATAATGGAAAACACAGGTTCACGGACACCACTTTCATCAATATGATGTAACATATTACCTTTCGTAATTTTCCCAGTCTTTTGTGTTTCCCCATTTCTCGCTACATAAATATATATGCAGTCACAAAGGAAAGCGTATACAATACAAGATCTAATCATTGAATTCTATTATAGAGGAAAATAATGGTTACCCAGCAACTCAAATCACCGAAATAATTTCTTCTGATTCATGATTCGTACCTTCGAATATATTTCTTGGTGATTTCGATTAATATCATTTATCACTTTCGTAATACACAGTATTCTTCTTTCTTTCTTTTTTGTCATTCATTTTTATTTTATGTATATACACAGTTCATGGCAAACAGTCACAAATCTAAAGTTATCAAATCTTAAATATATAATTTTACACGTGATTCATAGTATGATACCAATATTCAACGTTAATCGGGAATAACAAGATTCGAAAATTCAATGCATAGACTAATTAACTTATGTTTCCATTCTTTCAACAAATCTGCTATTATTTTATACCTTTATATTTGCGTAATATTTACCTTCTTTAATAAAACTGAATTCATCGTTAAAATTCATATTCACTTCACTTTCATATATTAATACAGACAATCTAAAAACCCAAGTAACAGAATAAACTACCTTCCTATCCCAAAACACATACGCATACACGAGATTCTCTGCAACCAATTTCCTCGTAAATGAAACCTGTATTTCAAAAAAGCATTCCAATCATTTTACTCATTTTCACACAATGTATCGTCATTTCTTCCATACTTCCATTATCAATTTCAATCGAACTCCTCGTACCCCACCAAGACCAAATGATCCCTCGCAAAACAGTATTCCCGAATTTTTCTAAGCAAGCGAATTTCTAAGCCAACGCCGGAACTGGCCCGTTTCCGGCGTGGCGAGCGATATTTCGTGACAGGGGAACACGAATGTAACGACGCGCGGAGCCTGGCGAATCGGAATCTATCAGTGCTCCTTAAAGACAGACAGGCTTCCGTGACCCATCTTTGAACAAACTAGCAGAAACGCGAGAGGCTAGGTCGAAAACGAGCAATGGCTACGGAAGAAAGAGGCGGAATAAGGAGACGAAAAACTCTTTCGTTTCCCTCCTGTCCCCAACCCCCAGCCCCTTCAACAGCCCCCTTTGCTCCTTGGACCTGACCGGCGCTTCTCGCGCACATTCTACGCTATTCAGCATCGTTCTGCTTTCTTCCGGCCATGCCGGCAGTAACCCACCCTCTCGACCCCACCGCCAGTGCGCCTTCGTGTGTCTGGTGCAGTTCCACCACCCGTGGACAATGTCCGTCATTCGGATATCTTCCGTCTAATTGCTCTTCCTTCTTCCATTCTTCTGTAGTCAGAAGGCTCGGAAACGAATATCTCGGGATGACGTATGGACTTGCACCGGGGATACACTGTATAAAGCAAGAGTAGAGGGAGAGAGGGAGCGAGAGGGAAAAAGGGACGGAGAAGGATCCTTTCATCCCGATGAAAAGAAAGAATCTTATCTACTACTGGTTATCGGCCGGGCCTTTAGACTTGGATGAGGGTGGGGGCGTGTGAGAACGGGGCAGCGGTGGCGGCAGAAAAGGAGGTTGGTTGCTGACGATGACCATCCTTCGTCCTACTCGAGAAAGAAGACGGGGGAACGAAGTTCGGCGAGGCTCCTATTGTGCAGTTCCGGGCGTGGACGTTAAAAGTGACCTAATCTCTCGGTAAACTCGATGATTTTTCGTCGGCCCTTCCCAACACCCGGTGTCGTATTCGTCAATCCAGGATTGAGCCCTCGTGAGATGGCCTGGCGACGAGAATTGATCGAATTTTGCTCAGGGAACGTGCTCCAAATGGATAAGTGATAGCTGATATACGTTCACGGGTAACTGGATGTAACGTGCGGGCTTCCGGAGTATCGCGATCCATTCGTTGGATGCTCTTAGTACCCCGATCGCGTTAACGGTGTCGTTACTCGCTGGAAGCGAATTAGTGGGAAATTAACACTCTAGTTCTGTTACTTCGGGTCAAGCTCGTGATGAGGATTTTTAATTGAGTTTAAACCCTTGTGGATGAGGATTTCTTAAACTTTTGAAGATTCTTTGCGTAGGAAACTGAATTATGCAGCAGAATCTTAAATAGAAATAGAGACAATCAGGTAACTGTTTCTTGTTGTTTGGATGAATAAATGATACTTTTGCAACTTTTAATTTTAGGGTTGATATACGTAAAAGTAAAACGACCACACCTTTTCTCCATTTCCCTGCAAGTTTGAACTTGAATGACTTTGAGTCATAGATCGTTGAATTCGTCTTAAAACGCACTATTTGATGGTGGATAAAAAAAAGTATCATTCCATTTAAAAAAAGAAAGTTGACCTTCACCTCACCTTGGAGTGTCCACCAGGAAAAATAAAAGTTCCACCACATGATGTCCTCTTCGGTATTGAACAACTTTTGTCTGAAACATTTTTGCATATAATCAATATTTTCGGAGATATTCGACTGTAACGCTTTATAATTTCCACCCTGTATATGAATGGTATTCGGTTTATGTAGTTAAAAGAGGAATATTATTTAGCAGTTGTAGATATTATTCAATCTTTTTGGTAAAATGATGGCGCTGTTAATGAATTATTACAACATCAACAGAGATATGGAGATTATTATAGTATAACTATGAAATTTAATAGTATTGTTATGATAATACTCTGTTTTAATTATTCATATCTTCGAAATTCGAATATTAATCCTCTCACGTTCATGACAACGATCTATCTTTAACATTGTTATTTGCGAATATGCTTACCGGAATATTGTATCGTTCTTGCCTTCTAGCGTCTTACCATCAAAAACAAATCTTTTATAGAATTTTAAATATTTCAGTAATTTTTTAAAAAGCCTCAACTCCTAAAAGAAGAAATAATTAATTTTCCAACGCGTACAGTTCAATTTAACTTAATGGAATGATCGAATCGAAGCTAAAATATTTATTTTCATTGTTACTATGACAGCGATCTATAACACGAATCTGAAAGTAATTTGAAAATGGAATTTGCATGTAGAAAAATCATTTGATCGCGAGTACCGTTCAAATGTAAATATTCGAAAGAGTAATTCATCGGTCAACGACCATTTCACTTAGAAAAACGTGTCATTCGGCAAACACTTTTATACAAAGCTCTCGATGCAGGCTAACATATAGCTTCTATTGTGCGAGAAGAGCACAATATAAATCAAACCTTCTCGCATGAAAAGAATTTCAAATTAAAACAATTCCAACTTAACAACAACGTGTGCGCCTGTATTGTTCTCCCAGAGAGATTGGCGTAAGGACGTTGCGCGCCGAGTATTTATTTTCCGCGGGGTACCCGAGAAATCGTTTTATCATGGAATGCCGTCCCCGTTCATTAAAGAGCGGAAACTGTATTCTGAATCTTGCGCGACAAGCATCCGTACACAAGATTATCTTTATAATGCCTCTAAAAACGACGTATTTATCGACCATGCAACATAACGTACCACCTCCCATAGTGCACGACTACATAGGCGACGTTTACGGGGACGTATATCTCCTGAATCTTGGATAAATGCCAAATGACAAACCTTAACCTTCCCATAATTGAAGAAGTCGATAAATAAGACGCTGTCTGCATTATCAACAATTTTCTGTATGTCTGCACCATTTGTTTACACTTTCGCAATAAAATTATATCTTTATTATAAACGTTGAATCAAATTTTCCATATAGGAATCTATTTCCTAACAAAATTTTGAAAATATTTCATTGATTTCTTTCATTCTTAATAGTAACTATTGAATATTAAATATTGTATTCAACATAATATCACAAGATAATATTAAGGAACGAAGCATTACAAGATTGTTTAACGTTTACATAACTCATTTACATTCATCTTTACGTATTTATATTATTCGTTTCTTCCTCGTTCTGCGTTACAAAAACAGTTCGTTGTTATTACTATTATTATCATCATTATTATTAAAATATGTACATAGATCGCGACACGAGGAGATATATACAACATGATGGAGAAGTAGGAGTAAGAACAAAGAGAGAACAGTTAACTCGGTCGTTAACGACAAAATGATAATATCAGGAGTTCGTTTACATGTTCGATACATTTTGAACAGCCTCCAAAACTGTATGAAATTCAAAGTAGCGCGATATATGTGCGAAACTACGATTTAACATGGAATCTCTAGATTCGCGGTAATCTAGATTCGCCGGGATTCACAATTATCGTGCTTATTCATGCGCACGGTAAACTCACATAAATTAAACTGCAGGAGTCGCTGAGTGCACTAGTAACTGACCATTTCGTTAAACCTACGATAATAAGGTCCCGTGTAACTGGCGGAAAATGCCAGATCGCGCTACATATTTTTCTTCTCTCGTTTACGAACAAGAACGCTCGTAAGTCTAACGCGTTCGGCACAAGACTTTCTGTCTGTGTTTCTTAATTAAGTTCCTGTAATTCCGATTACTTTCGATTTGTACAGGAATTTGACATAAAAATACAAATTGAAAATTCATTCACTAATTTCAAAGTATTCGTCTGTTTTCAATATTCTACAATATTATTATGTATTAAATATAATCACGTTACTGATGAAAAATAATATTATTTTAATATTAAAATAATATTGTTTACATGAAGTTTGCACAACAAAAGGTATTTGAAGGATCCAAATGCAAAATAAAATTGAAAAAATACAAAATATACTTTTGCATAGAGAAATAAATCGAAAGTACAGTTAGTTAAAAATATTTGAAAAGATTTAGTAAGATTAAGAGGTTCATCAATTGAATATATAATTTTTCATAAAGAAATAAGTTGAAAGTACAGCCAGTTAAAAATATTTGAAGATTTAATAAGCTTAAAAGATTCACGAATTGAATATATAATTATTTATGTTAAGGAGATACGTTCGAAGTTAATCCAACGTTTATGATTACTTTTATTATAGGTTTTCTACGAAGGAATCGGCAACACACGCTATTGTGGCAGTGCACAACACTGACATCAATGGTCAAACAGTGAAATGCAGTTGGGGAAAGGAGAGCGGAGACCCGAACAATGCTCAACAAACTGGACAGGTAAACGTTCTCCCTTTATTAACCTCTCAAAATCCGATGAAACGAAACTTAAGGATGCTACTGTCGGAAAAACTTCTGAATAAAAATTAAAATTTACTTTCCTATTGTATTTTGTTCGTTTTATAAAAATACAGACGACATTTGTAGGAAATTAAAATAAAGGAAATTAGATCTTCGTGAAATTATGCCTGATCTCTGTAAAGTATTTATAAATGTACGTATCTAAGACGAAAATAATACCTTTTAATTTATTTATTTTATTCACTTTGTATACGATAATCAAAGGGAACAAAAAATAAATGAATAAGATGCCAGTTCAGCGTGCAAATTCTCGTTAGAACAGTGTTTCAACTTTTGAGTACGCGCGAAAGATCCTGACAATTAGCAGAAGTCCATTTTGAACTAAAACTAAGTTAGGCTTGAATTAGAAATTGAGATGCCCTGGTGAATGTATTATGCTGCAAGTTTGTTCGATCCTATCGACAGATGTTCCAGCTCAAACTAAATGAAGAAACAGTAACTGTCATTTATTTAACATCAATTATTTATATACAACTGAAAATCATAACCCGTATTGGTAACAGTAGATTAAATATAAAATCTTCCACAAGTGTCTCATTCGCTTTGAATTTAATTTAAACGTATTTAAATATTTACGCCACAAAAATGCATATCATTTCATTTAAGAAAGCTTATAAAATCACTTTCCACCTGGAAAGCTAAAAATTTGACTTTTCTTCTTAATTAACCCCTTGTGCTATGATTTATTTATCAATTGTGATCGATACAACAACTTTGTCAGTAATAATGTATTGAAAAAGGAGAATAATTCTGTGCATATTTTATCTCTATGTTTGCCCTATAATATAATAATTGATAACAGAAGAATAACAGTTAATTTGAATTTAAAGGAATTGAGTAATATTTATATTTGTTAAATTCTATTTAAAGTGTTCACTGCGAGTCACACACGGAATTGTAAGATAAGGGGTTAAAATATCTCAGAAACAATTCGATTAACATCTATATTTACAGCACAAAAATCTGCACCTTCGAATTTTAAAATAAAAAATGAGTGAAAACTTATTAGATACTTCAATCGATCGTTCAGATAACCGGTTTCACTGAATTCCATGTTTCAGTTAAGTTATAATACGTGCAGATGATCGACATTCCACTGTACATAGAAATTAAAACGTACATGGAGGTTACATCGCGACATCGGTTTCCATGAAAATGAAATACTAGCTCCGTCGAAGGGCCATTATGTCTCGTTTAGATATCATTAGCGAGAATAAGTCGCGAAACGATAAACTCTTCCAGATATCGAGACAGGAAATAATTACAGTATTCGATTCCTAATTCCATCCGGTTCGGTATGTACGCGTCCCTGGACGGGAAGCCGAGTACGAGACAAGTGGAAGAGTAAAAACGGGCCACGGAAAAGAAGAGAACAGAGAATCGGGCAAGATTCCGGTCTATTCACAAGTCTTGCTCTCAAGTGTGTCTATTAGGTCTCTTAGCAATTAGCGCCGGTAGGACAAGTACGTCCGATCTGGGAATGGTAGCCGAAGTACGTCCTCTCTACCCTTTCCCTCCCCTCAGCAGTACTTCTATCCATCCATCCACTGTTACTCGGCCCGTGACATCGCTCTAATTGATCCCTATTCCCATAACGCGCCTCTCTCACGAGCGCCGGGATATCGCAACACCGCGTACCTCATCACGGATCGACCGTCTACCCGACATGTTAGTCTGTCTTCCGTGTTCGATTCTACTTCTTAACCTCGCCAAATTAGCTGGCAACTGTTGCGGAAAGCAATCGACACCTTCAATTTCTAATCATACGTTCCTTAACTTGTTAACTGTGGGATTTAGTTTGAAAATTTTCTCGTTTCGCGTGCAATAAAATCAAAAACTGAGGTGTGTACTCGTCAAATACAGGATGAATGCACCTAGGGTATATTTGAATGAAAAACCAAAGCAAAACAAAAAAAAAATTACATGTTTATCTGAAAAAATAAAGAATTCATCGTTGAAAGAGTTAGTATCATTTCAAGCTTTAAGATGACTGGTTAACTGGTTAACCCTGTGAATGCTGAATACTTCCAGCCGAAACGTTCCATGTGGACGGAACATTCTTTTTCTCATCTGAAATCGATGAATTATGTTAATTCGTACAATCAAGTAAGTTGTAATTAAATTGTAATTCCTCAGTTTCGCCAAATTGAATAATACTATGAAGGGCATATATTAATCACATACGCTTGTAATTGTCACCACGTCATGTGTAAGATTGAAAAGATCGAAAAACGCATATATGCGTCCATAGTCCACTGTTTCACACTTTCACCGGACGCATATACGCACCCACAACATTCAAAGGGTTAAGGTTGCTTTCCTTTGCTTAGGTAGACTTAGTTAAGTTCGATGAATTTTTATTGTCAAGAAAAAAACGGGATGGCAGAATTTTGGAGGTAAATAATTTAGGGGGTGCCTTGAAATTGAGGAATTACAATTACAATTTAATTACAACTTACTGAATTGTATGAATTAACATAATTCATCGATCTTCAAACGAGGAAAAGAATATCCCAACCACACAGAACGTATCGGCTGGGAGTACTCAGCACTCAAAGGGTTAGAGTCAGTACACCAAGAGAAAAAAAAGATCAAAGCAGCTGAACACTAGAACTACCGAGCATTTAATACGACTGCTATGTAATCCCTATAAAAATTCTAACAATAAATTATCTTCAGTTTCTTTAGACATTCATTATAGCATTCAAGTGAAACTATTTATTTTCAAAATCCTTTCGAATATTCAATACTTTAAAGATAACAATATTTACGAAACAAAAGAACCGAAACCAGTCATTTTGACTGGTACGGTAATACTAGGGTTAACGTGTTGAATGCCGTGAGAGTTACCAATGACTCCCAACCAAATCGAATTACTATAGTTCATTCAATTAGACGACAGTTATTTGAAAGCGTTTCTATATTATAAATAACGCAGTGACATTGAGCAAGATATACGTGCAATAATAATAATGCAATTCAATAAAACGAGTTAATAATATATCTGTTCCACTTTGTGTATTTTGCTCTATGCAGTCGTGCGACGTTCAAGGCGTTAAACAAAGAAAACACGGAAAACGTTCGTAGCATTGATCACAGGATCATTCTTATTCCGACAATTGAACGGCGTATACGTAAAATTACGATCTTTAAGCACGCGGTATTACCATTCCTAACCCTATTGACATCGTTAAATATAAAATCCAAGCATTACCCTTACTCTTTTCTATTTCATTGATCTTCGTGTTCTCCCAGGCGTTATCGTCGGCGACGTACCCATACTACGCGGCGGCAGCTGCTGCCGCCGCGGCGGCGGCGGGTGTCGCGGGTGTCGGAGGCGTCGGTGGCGTCGGCGGTACTGGACAGCTTGGATACTGGTATCCGCCCCAATCTTATCCCACGACAGCGACGCAGATGCAGGCCGGTGGTTTCCTGCAGGGAATGCAGGGATACACTTATGGACAGTTCGCCGGCTATCAACAGGCGCAATACATGGGGTAAGCTCTTAAAGTTCCGCTCTCCGACCAAAGTAATTCCGTAATAGGTCCAGCGCGCGGAGGGTGTAAAAAAATTAACGGCCGGCGGCTGCGGACGCTGAATTTACAGTCTACGATGAAAAGACGCTGCAACGCGCGACGGTGTTAATTTTCGTAAACGTGGATGGTTAACCTGTTAACCCGGTGACATTTCGTGCAAACGTTCACGATGTAACTTGAGATGACTAAAAATAATATAGTCAACGTTCTGCAACGATGAACGTCGAGTCTATGTATGTAGGCTTTATTAATACAGACATTGTAGTTTAGTGGAATATAGAAATTGGTGGTTTAATAAAAAAGATAAAAGATAATTATTGGGAAATGTAGTTAAATAGTAGAGATTAACAGGTTAACGCATATTGTTTCTTATATTGAGTATATAGTAATTTTTATTTAACAGTATAGGTACATGTTCTTCAGTCGCGTATAGTACATATATGTGTAATATGTTTAATACTACGTATGTTTCGTTCTTGAAATTTAATGAAGTTAGTGGCAATAGGTTATAGTAAGAAATGGAAGCAATTTAGAACTTGAGAGAGGAAACATGTTACTATCTTGAAAAGTAAAGAACTGCATAATATATAAGTAATATTTCTAAGGGTACGACAGGAGGCATTGGCGTATTATATCAAAGAAATACGCGTCAAATAAATAGATACTCAGTCAAAATTATTTACATTGTTATACGCATAAATAAGGATAAGTTATTGGAATGAATAGGTGAAATAATTTGATTAAAAATAAAATTTTTCTATCATTCTGCAAAAACGACGCTGTGTAAATTCAAATATGAAAATATAAAATTATTTGTCATTGCGTTCATAGATATTAATATTGCAAATAAAAAATATAAATTCTATACTTTCCAAGGTAATAAACATGGAAGGATTAATTATCGTTTGCATCCAACTGCAACAGTTTGGTTTCCTATTGTTATAACTGGGAATTTTGAAAACCTGTATTAAATTTAATTATTTGACAAATTCATTTTGGGTGAACGCACGTTTATGAACATTTATGTTATCGAAATGCACGCGTTGATATAACATAACTCATGCTCGCAAGATATCACGTATTATAACACCGAGACGTAAATATGAAACATTATAAAACTGTCATTTTGATAGTAAACGTTATCTAGCAGCAATTTTATGTGTAAAATCGAACGACGTGTAGTATGAAATACGTGTAATATTTTTCTTGTCAGAGATACTATATGGCTGTATAAAATTTATCTTGTATCATGATGAATGTATTACAGTTTATCGCGTTTTCACAAAATTTTAATTATAAACAATGATAATAACTAAAATATGAGAACTCGCCAAGAGTTATTCTGTCTGCGTACAACAAATCGAACGCAGTAAATATATTTCCGAAAATAATCAAGAAACAAACACGTTTCAATAAAATGTATTTATTATTGTATTTATTCATATGGCACTGAAACAACCATTGTATTTTTTTAAATCAAATTACTCATTTTCAAATTACTCATTTCAAATAATCAAATTAATCATTTTCTATTGTAGTCTTGTTTTTCTAACTGCATTCTTAAACATTTTAATTTGCATAAAGATTCATAGTTTACTTATTACAATAAACCGAACTTCACGTCTAGTTTGATTACCTATCTATGATATCAAGGGACAGGTGAATGCAAAGGTTGAAATTGTCCAAAAAAATTTTCTATTCGTTCGAACGTGTACATTTATTTACTGCAAAATTACATGTTCAACCTGTAAATACAGAATGGGAATGGGTGTCCACGCTGCTGGCACGGCAGCAGGTTGGGGCCAGGGATTACCTGGGGGACCACAGTTACCGCCACACCACGCCACGACGGTCACGGCACCCCCAGGGGTACAAGCCGCACCTCCCCCACCACCACCACCGGCACAAATGATGGCCTACCCGATGCAACAGTTCCAGGTAACCATTATTTTTCTTTGTCTGTTTCGTATACGCGTGCATATTTCGTTACGTACTATATTCTCTAATCGATGTAAGTGTACCTCGCTTTACGTGTCTCTGCATTGTCATCTTTTTGATTCACTCATTGGATATTCAATAAAATTTTAGCATTTCTTGTTTTAAATATGATTTATCTATATTATCTTAACAAAAAATATTGTTTTTACATTATACAAAAATAGATACGTTAAAGTGTATTACTTCTTTGTTGTGTGACCTTTTTCAATTATATAATCGTAATAAATTTCTTAGGACTGTTTAATAATTTCTAGAAGTTTTTAAAAGAAGGTTACAAAGTGTAATGGAAATTTGATTTAATTATTAAATATTATGATGTTGTTAAAGTGATTGAACATTCTGTTCAATATACAATCATCTAAATAAGATTTGAAATCGTACCACTATATACAGGTATTAATTAAATATTAATTGCATTTCGGTGATTTCTTTTTACAAAATTGAGTACCTAAAAATGATTGGATCAAATTGTGGTAATAATTCTACAAGTTCTAGTCTTGGCTTTTTTTCTTACAAAATATCAAAGTTATTTGAGGTGATTGAATGATGTTGACTGCAGAAATTTGTGTCATGAGTGGCTTTCTAATAAGAATGTTGTTTCTGATACTGTAAAATATAGCGTACCTTGCATTACGTAATGAATGTCGCACCCTGCTACTATTACACGCATAAATTTTACGGATCTCCACGCGATCAGTTAAAATCGATAGCTATGCAGTTTCATCGGTCAACCTTCGTTATCCAGTGTCAAAGTTTAAACATTTGTCGTAACACTTCATTGTGTGCTTTTTATTTCTGCTTGATCATTGGTGAATGCTATTAAAATTAATGCTTTCGTAAATACACGTCCCCCAAGTTTACTAATTTTATTTAATGTTCACAGAAACTCACAAAAGGAAAATTATAACTTAATGTTGAATACAAATTCTTTATGTATAAGTATAATTACAGATTGAAAAAGGTTTCAAGCTTATTATTTTGAAGAATGATGGAATATAAAAAGAATAATTGATATTTTTTTATTAGTTATTTAAATTAACAACATAAATTTTGATAAAGAGTTTTGTATAATTTATTTATGAATTTTGTACTTAGTTACAGTAATTAATCGATTGATGAAACATATTTGATTCCAATCTTTGCCAGCTTTATTTCAGTGATTATTTATTTACAACTTTATGTAATAAAACATAAATAATTGGCGGATAAAAGAACTGAGAAGGCTAATAGGGACATTAACTTCGGTTGGTGAATTGGACATATAAATCAGAGAGAACTGTGTGCGTAGGTGAAATAAAAGTGATCCCTGTACAATTTCCCCACGCACAATTCAAATTCTTTTAGAAATTCACGACTTAGTGTTACCATTGTATATCGATTGCGTCACATACCTTTTTAAACACAATTGCTCGAATTCCTTAATCTATAGATCACAATAAACTCTTATTCATTCTCCAGTACATTCAACGACATTAATCGTAAAGAGGATGTACTATTCAAATTTTTATTGAATGTTTAAAAAAATAAATAAACAAAACATATACAAATAATTAAAAAACAAAAATAATTATCTATGATATCACTGTTTCAAGGAAACATTAACCATAAAAATTATAATATTGGTTACAATACAACAAAAGTTTATAGAAATATTTTGTATGTATTATGCATTATTAATGTGAATAATGAACATATACATGTAAATTTAGGGGATTTCTCATAAACACTGACTGAATCAAATGTAAGCATGTTTGTGTAAGCATATCATAATTATCACGAGTGGATGTTATACAGGTAAATCTATTGTGGATCAGACATTTTTTTTCATCTTTTTCTTATTGGCATCAATAATCAAATAAAATTAATTTACATTTCAAAAGTAATAAAATGTGATACTCATATTTGTAGATACCTATATTCCTCCGTAAGTGAAAAGAGTAAAATATAATATCAAAATGAAATATCCACTCGTTTTATTATACTCTGAACATTACGTAAACATTTGATCATTTTTCTAGAAAACTGCAAAACAAAAATTCATTTCATATTTTCAATTAATTTCGTGCAGATAATTAGTTCAAGGTTTTTCTTGCTATAATGATAATTACACTCCACATGTATGTATGTTTGTAAGAAGAAGCGTCATAATACACATTCTTTAACAAATATGTGTTTATTTAAATTACTTAATTAATATTTACAAAGTAACATTTGTTTTTGAACAAATATATATTAAAAAAGTTCGTAAAATACTAGATATTAAAAAAAAAGGAAAATCTGGTAACGAATCGGTTAAGTTTTAATCCTCAATACAATCTCAAAATAAAAAATCATGTGGCTTATGACGTTTTGCCTTGCATATATACACACCAAGCTTGTCACTTATTTTCATTTTACATAAAAAACACCTAGTAAAAGAATGTGTATACCTTTTTAATTTTTAAAGAACAGAAAATAATATTCAAGACAACATAAAAGTAATATTTCTGGCCTTATTCTTCCATTTGTTGATATTTAATTAGAAAGATGCATTGCGTCTTCAAAATTCAAAATTTTATTTGAGTTTGATACACATTACTTATTCAAATACTTATGCAATTAAAATGGACAAACAAACATAATTTATTGTAGTATGATTTAAATTAATCCTTAGGAACATAACTCTTACAATAAATCAAATTACGTCTCAAATCTTAGGAGTACAAATATTTCCAAAACATTTGAAGTATCCTTTTGCTAATTCCGTAGTTACAACTTTATTTTGAGTTATCTTACTTCACAATTTACTTTTCATTAAAACCTATTTATTTTGAGAGGTTACATGCACCATTGCTATCTATAAATGTCATTTATAATTAATAGCAATCGACGAATCATGCTGAATGCAATCTCCAGAGTCAAATCATACAAGTAACAAGCATGAAAACTTCACCACCATCACCATCTCCATATTCGTCTGCATGTTGTTCAATGTGCACAAATATTCGACGGTGATACAAACATGGCTGAAGTACACGCTTATTGCACTTGATTTGTTTGAAATCGAGTATCTCGCTGGATTTTCATCGAATCATTGCAGTATGAAAAAAATCTATTCGAATATACAACAATCATTTGATAAATATAAATAGACCACGAAAAATGTAAATGGATCAATTATATGACACAGAAACATAAAAAGGATGAATAATATATAAGCTGAAGGTATAATTTGTATTAAGAGAAACATATGACTTATATTTCCAAAATGAAAATATTACAAATAAATAATTACAAGCCTCGAGCCTTAACGAACACCAGCGCTATTTTTCTTTTTTAATTCTTAGAATGCGAATGATATCAATTGAGTGAAAATACCATTTAACACCGCATTGTGAGAATTAAAAAATTAATTTTTAGGATGATATATCCTGTGGAACAAATTTTTTTTTAAATCGGTCTTAAAGGGGATCCTAATTTTTCATTAAATACTTTCTACTTCGTTTAATAAGTCATTTCGATTTCGTTTCAATTTTTTAAACTGATGATTAACAACCAGGAGAGATACTCGAAGTCATTCAGGGAACTACTTTTATTTACATATTTCGGTTCGCAGGCACAGTGATCGCTACACCTATCATCGCACGGTCTGGCTTATCCTTACTTTCGAATATCTATTTACATCAAGAAAACTGCATCTACGACCTGGCTCAACCTCGAATTGAAGCAGCGAATTGTCGTTGGAGTGCGTGTTTTTAAAATGGGTACCATCATTCCGTACGAAATGCAACTAAACGGAAGAGAAAAATGTGCAGGGAACAAACGCAGAAAGAACGAACGAGAATCTTTTTATGTAGATTTCCCCGTCGCCGGTATTTCCGTTTCGATTGCCCTGAGCCATTAACCGTTTAAATCCACAAGAAAGGTTAACTGATTGAACACCACGATCGCATGATTCATAAGATATTTACATGACACTGACAATTTTCCTTCGCGCGTTCTCATTAGTCAAGGCCAGACAAACACAGTTCGTGAAATAATATCTCCGTTAATTGTTCACACTTTCACAACTTCCGGGAACAATTGAGGTTGAGTCACGGTAAAGGTAGATTCAGATCGATTAGTCTCCTCGTGTATAGAATGTGAAGACATGGAACGAAAGATATAGTGTGAGAATATGTGAGAGAGAAAGTGAGAAAGTCAGAGAAAAGAGAAGATCAAATGGCTTTATAACTAAAGAGAGCTAGAGATTGCGTGCGTATGAGAGACGAGAGGAAGATAACGAAAGAATGAAGAAAGAAAGCTAGACAGAGAGAAAGAAGGAGAGGCAAGAATGATCGTGTGAAAGGGAGAGAAAGAGAGAGTTGTTCAGAATATTTCTATTATTTTCTTAAAATTCGGACCAAGACTTAACCAGCGTTTGTGTGTTCAAATGGTAAAGTGTGTTCTTGGTTGCGGTCCAGCTAGCGGATGAGGACTGGCTGACGCCTAGCCTTCTAGTGTGATGGTAAACAAGTACACCCCACCAACAGGAACATCTTCTACAGCAACAACAGTTACTACCACCACCATTATCACCACCACCACCACCACCCCCACCACCACCACCACAACAACCAACAACAACCAAAATATTTTCATCACCATCGAGGGCACCGCGACAGCAAAAGCAACCAAAATCATGCCGGTAGCGGCTTGACGAAACATAATATAAGACAGTGAGAGCAAGTTGATCAGCAAAAATAGTTAACGACCACTTAGCGAAACGATGGCGAGGGAAACGGAAGAGGATGAGAGAAATGGAAAAGGGAAAGAGTCGAATGGTCTTATCTATAAATGTTTCTTAAAGCAACATAAAAAAGAAGATTAAAAGAAAAAAAATGACGAAGAAAACGAAGAAAAAAAAAGAAAGTAAGAAAAAGAGAATACTTCCACGCTCCCCGCAGATTCTCACGTCCAGTGTAACCGGCAATCTTTGAAAACGGGAAAGGATGAATGAATGAATGAAACTGGTACCGTCATAACAAATCGGAGGTATCCTCTCGTCCAGTCTGTAGGATAAACTGTAGTGTCTCTCTCGGCTTGAATTAATAGATAGCGTTGCCGTCACGGTAGTGACAAAAGCTTCAGTAATGAAACACGAATTCCGGGGTACGTGGACCACCATGTGATCATCGAAGACCGTTCGTAGCGCAAACAGTCGATATTTTGTGCGTCGCGGCGTTCGCTAACGGCTGATTACAGCGCGGGCGGAGACACGAATCGAGACGACGCGTGGGAGCTAAGCTCGTTATTCACACTTCCCGCCGTTAAAATCGAGACGGTCGAAAACTTCTGACGTCTCCCGAGGATTGAGGGGGGAAGCGACGGAACGCTGCTAGGATACCGACCCGTAACCCGGATTCATTATTTTTGTAGTTTCGGCTTTAAAGAACAAGAGAAAAGAAAGATGAACAAGCGAAAGACGCAAAAGAGCGGTGAAACGCGTCACTCACTTAAGGAATGACGGTCGCCGAGGAAGCACGCGCGATCGCGGTTGTATAAATCGATGAGTACGAGGAGTACGAGAGAAAGAGAGCGAGAGCATTATTAAGAAAACAAAACGACAAAAAAAAATAAAAGAAGTAATACACAAAAATTCAACAATTAGCTAGTTAGGTAGGTATGTTATAATAAAACGTTACTCAAGGGCGATTCGAAATTCGGTGGCAAGGGCGGAAGCAGACCTCCACGAAACAAGGTTGAAGAGTTCCGCGTTCCTAGGGGAAACTGTTGAAAATGCACTTTTCGTACAACCACTTCGACTATCGTGAACCACGGGACTGATAGATCCATGTGTCTTAAATCCATTTTTCCCGCCACTGCGAGGACTTCCACCCTTCGGTTGTTACATTTATTATCGAACTCGAGGCCAAAAAGACAAATCATGCACCCGAAGTCCTTGCGGATGAGACGACGAGAGCCATTTTTATTGTTCGAATTTGATCCTTCTAACGCGGCGGTTAGACAGTTGGATATTTTTATAAAAGATCAGCCGCATGCGCCGAGGGGTGTCGACCGATGCTCGGCGCGTCGATCGCTCGGTTAAGGCAAAAAAAAAGGAAAAGAAAACGAGAGAGAAAAGAAAAGAAAAGAAAGTGAAGACGACGAAAGTGACGAAAGAAAGAGCCGAAACGCCGATCAGGATAGGGTGTCCGGTGATCGGTCGACTCCAGTAAAACGTATCGGGTCTACCGTGGTTTTTAACTTGTACTCTAGATTTTTATATACCATGCATACCATAGAACCAAAGAGAGAATCTCTACTTTAAGACGCTTAAGCAATAAATCATTAAGCTTAGGATGACGAACAAGCCGTTTACCCCCGTGTCTCTCTGCTGTAACTCGCTCACGGCTGATCGGCTTACGAGCTACGAATTCGCAACAACGAAACGGTATATAGATTTGAAAGAGAAGGGACATGGCGACGGTTGAACGATTTGATCAAGAAAAGGGGCATCGGGATGGGGGGAAAGAGAGAAAAGCAGAGGGAGGGATAGAGAGAAAGTGAAAATTCATTACGGTCTGTCCGACGTCCCGAATTTCGACTTGGCCAAATCTATCGATGAATACAACAAAATGGAAACTAAGTCGAAACAAGTGTAAGTAACGAACATATAAGCATGTGTGGTAAACCTCGCGCGTACCTACGTGCGAGGTAACGGGATGAACACGCGAGTGAGTGTGCGTGTGCGTGTATACATGAACGATAAAATGAGAAATTATAACACAAGCGAAAGACGAGAAAGAAATTATACAATTCATAGATAGACACAATGCACAAAACAGCACGAAAGTTAGATTAGATGCATCGAGTTCCTTCCTCGCGGATATGTATCCTGTCCTCCAGATCGAGTCTTTGAATTGTTGCCACCGTGTAATAATCGTTGCGTCGGGGTCATCCGGTGATTAAACTGTTGCCGAGTAGTGTGAAGAGAGAGGACGCGCGATTAAAAAATCAAAACGAATGGGGAGATCGACGACAGTTTAAGGTGTGCGACGACGTGGGCGAGTCAAGGACATGCTCGCCCGTTTAATATATCTGGACTGTGGTGTTCCCCCTGTTCTTGCTCCGCGCTTGCTTTCTTTCGGTTTTAATCACGTCTCGGAACCGCGTAAACGTTATTCTTTCCGCGTTTTCTCTGTTCGACCCATCATACCTTGCCGATCGCACTGTGTGTTGGTGTTTGTACAGTGTCTTTCGATAATGAAACTGTCTCATCGTACGAGCGCACATCGACGGATACAAAATCCATGAGTATCGCCGTGGTACAATAAAATCCGTAGAATTTAGACGAACGAGTCGAAGAGGAATGAAAAAATAAGGGGAACGGAACGGAGAGGGAGAAAGAGAGAAATGGACTAAATGGTAACAGTTAAGGGAGGGGGGAGCAGGAGAGAGAATGGGAATGGGGGAGAGACAAAAGCGATAGACAACTTTGTTACTAATCAAAAGATAGACGGATCGTGCTTTAAATGAATCAAAAGCGCTCAAGAGTTTCAAATCAAAAGCGTTGATGATCAAAGACCGATACAGCAACGGCTCGTGTGCCGTCGTGTAGCAATGAATAGAAACGAGATAGCATCGAATAACGGAGGGATAACGTAATCAAACAAGCTCGAGGTAACGTTAGCGTTTTAGAGGTTATCAGTAAATTTACTAATTTTCCGAACGATGCGATGCGTAATACGTTGACATGGATATAAAAGGTGTGCCTTCAGTCCATCTTGCGGACCACAAACGTTTCGTGCCATTAATTCTTCGTAAACTAATGATTGTCCTATTCGATGGAAAAGAAACGGGCGAAGCGTTTCCGTGTCTGAAACATAATGCTTAAGTATACAAATTCGGAGACTACGCGTGATTCGATAATCCCTTAGTGTCTTCCCAGTAAAATAAACCCGACAGAATTCGAGTTGAACGTAGATTATTCTCCATTAATTATACATCGTTCAAACTTGTTCGTTCGGTTTTATTAATGTCTGATCACCGAAACGTGAATCTTCAACCTTTTCAAGCGTTACCGTTTTAAAGTTTTTCCACGAATAGCTCTTTGTGCAATGGCAGATGAATTACGATTTCTGAGTTAAAGTTCTCGTTTCGCATAGCGGCGGACAAAGGAAAGTTTGATACGATGCGAACCAAATATTTGTAATTTTTCAATCTGAAATTACAGTTTACAACGGTAATAAAATGTTCGTGAACACTAAAGTTCACATGTTCTAAAGTAATTTGAACAAAAAGAACTATAAATATGTGGTCTGGTTTAAATAATGAAATGATAAAGAGGCTAAGTGGACAAAAGTAAATTTAGTTAAATATTTTTACGATTATGTTCGTTATATTTTCAAACGTCTTAATATTTCGTAGATCTTATTAGTAACATTTGGTATGCCCTACGTTGCTACTGTTTACAACTGGAATCATATAATGTTTATTCATCCATCTTCTTCATCACAGTCGATCACAATAAATTGTAATTGTTGACTTCATTGGTACATTATTATCCAATTCTTTTCAATTTATATTTTTCATCGCTTCTTCATTTATATTACCAAGACAAATGTTTAATTTTTCAAATTATCATTTTATCATCTCTTTCTAAAGTTTTCCTTAGTATCCCAGATTTAGTTAAATTAATTTCTGTGCTATATTTTTTTAATTTAAAATATTTAAAAATATTAATTTGTTTTTTCTATCTCTAGTTATTAACTACCTAATATCTACAATATTAAAAATAATGGTTCATATAAGTTTATTGTTTTATAGTTTTCTTATTGCCATGTAAAATATTAATTAATATAAAATTGACTTCTTAGATTTTCTAAATACAATCATATAAACAAAATAACATCCACACCGTACGTAGTTAAAAAATGTTCCAAAACTAGATGGTAGAAATTACTAATTAATGTGCACAACTGTTAATTTTCAATTTTTCTATGTCCGCCGCAGTACGTTCATTTCTGGCAATATATCGACGAAAACCCGCTATGAATGAATCGAGAGATTGTACAAGAATTAAGAAATTTTTCACCGTGTACCTAAAACATAAGAATTGTGGCCCAAGATCAACACCAACATATATTTCAACCGTATTTCCGTCAATTGTTTTGTAATTGATAAATACGAGGAACGTAAGTGTCGTTTGTCAAACAAAAAAAATAGCATAAGAATACAACGAATTACCGGAAAATTCAATTATATATCACGTAAATGGATAAAAAAAGAAAAGACAAAAAACACTGAACATAGCGAAACCATTTCGTTGCTAAATTACCGGCAACCTGGAATACAGTCGATTTCGATTTCTCGGCACAAAACGTGTGAAACTAACGTGCAGCCTAACAGGACACGCTACAAGTCGCGAGGAAGAGACGAAAGAATTATAAATAAAACATATACATACACATAAATGCAAAATATATACCAACGTGCAAAACAGCGACGAAAAGCTGTTATTTTAAATCGTCGTAAGCGAAAAAAAAGAATAAAATGAAAAAGAAATGTACGCGAGATGAAATAGCTGTTAAGGAACAATATGAAAACATAAGTGAAACAAAATATCGTGTACATTATTAGTTAGGTGAAAAAAAAGGAATAAAAGTATAGGTTATTTTTCTGAAAGATAGAACGAGCGAGAGGAGCGGGAAAAGGGCCATTTGTAAATGAGAGGCAAGGGTTGGGATACGCGAAACGTATGCCGTATTCAACGGTTAGCCCAGAAAATAAAAGGAACGAAGGTGAAACAAAGAGAAATCGACATTACGTGTTTCACGGATCCAGCCCTCGCGTCTTTTGCTCGTATAATCAATCCCCATTTCCAAAAAATCCGCCTCTCGGCTCGATTCCACTTTCAAAACGGCGCGAAACGGAGCGATCTCTCGCCGCTCTTTTAAAGAAACCGCGGGGATCCTCGTCTTGTAAAAAGTATTTAAAAAGAGGAGGAAAAAAAGCGAAAAGAAAGCGTCTCGAACACCGAGACGCGTCTAGGAACCTTACCATAGCCTCAAGTACGTTGTCTAGGTAATAAACCGAATGGAGCTAGCCAAATGGGAAAACGGCGCTGCATTAAAGGGAAAACCAAAATGTAGTGTAAAGTGATAAATAGGTAATTAATGTAACCTGACCGAGTAGGAGGTAAATACGGGGTTTCGGAAAGTAACGATGACGAAGCGGATAAAATTGGAGCCGCCGCGAAGGAACGTGTAAAAAGCTTAGTTAAAATGAGAAAGGATGATCGCCGAGCGAACGGCCACGAAAGGGGAGCGAGCGCGTG